AAAAAAAAAAAAAAAAAAAAAAAAAAAAAAAAAAAAAAAAAAAAATTAGATATGACCAAAATTGAATGAAAAAGGTAAAAAATCCCAACTGTGCATGGCTTTTCATTAACAAGTTCCCGAAAGATTCACACAGATTTTACACACTTTTTCAATGTTTCCTCATTCAATAGACTTCATCAATAAATGTAAAAAATGATATCGATTTCCATTCATTTATAGAAAACTGCAACAGGGTAATTAAAAGAAAACACACAAAAATAAACAATAAAGACAGTGAAAATAAAAGACATAACACCTGTTAAGGAATTAAACAACTTATGCTTTAACTTTGATTTAAGAAATGGTGCTCTCATCTCAATTATTTTAATAAATATTTAAAGAAACAACAAAACAACATCTAAAATACAGAAGCATGAACTAAATTAGAAACAGTTATGAGCTTTAAAGATAGTAATAAAATAATATAATTATATAATTAAAAACAATTCACAGAGACTAACAACACTTGATGTACTAACCGAATTTCTCACATCCCATACCTGGGTAACAGCTTGTGATCTTTCTGGTATAAGAACCTTTAGACCTGGCCTCTTCCCGGGCGTGGCCGCGACTGTGACGGTCTGATTGGACGTAGAGGCTACAACCGTGGGGTTGAAATCTGTAACATGGTGTAAGGCAACTGGTACAGGCTGAGAAGTGCTTGCCGCCGAGGTGGTTTGATTGCTAGCTAACAGGGAAGCACCAGATGGGGCTGGACTTACTCGGCTTCCTGACAGACACACACAAACAACCAGCATAGCTAAATATGCTCATTTGCTGCTGTTCTGTTAAAGAACCACTCCCCATCCCCGAAAGCAATATTTGAAACGTATAAGAGGAAAGACAACTCTCCCAAGATAATAAAACAGAGGATATTCATTCAGTCATAAATTTATTGAACTATAAGTCAATTATCAAATATCCCAATGTCATCAATGAGAAAAGTATGATTATATGATAATGCTATGTAAAAGAATTCCCCTAAATCAATGGCTGAAGAGTTTAAAATTAAAAATTCTCTCTTTTTTTTTAAAAAAACATTTTTGCAAAACATTAAAGAAATATTTGGAATTTTTTAATGTTTAAATTAGCGCGAAAAAAAATTTTTTGAGTAAAGAAATTATGGGAGGTTGATGAAACTTGGCCTAACTGACAATATTTATCCAGTGTCATACAGATGGTGAGGTTAAAAAGTAATACAAGTTACATGTATGCATAAGTGAACATACGTACCAGATGGGCTTTGTGCTTGTGTAGGAGGTTGAAAGACTATAACTGATCCTCCACCCATGTTTGTTGGGGTTGTAGTATATTGGCTTGTGGAAACTTGAACAGGTAACTGGTACACTTGCTGTGTTTGCTGAATAGGCTTAATAATAGAGACATAAACAAATTATTATAAAAAAATTTCTACTGAGCTAAATGAATATTTACAGGAAGAAAAGGAAGTCCTCTGATTACATGAATTCAGTTTTCTAAAATAAATAATTTCAGTTATGAAACAAGACTTACATCAAAAGACTGTGTACTCTAGATAAGTTTAGGTTATGAATAAATAATACATAGATAAATCCAGATTTCGGGGAGAAAGAAAAGCAATTTTGAAACTATTCCTAAAATAATATTGAAATCACCAAAAGCATTTAAAGTAAATAAAAACATTCTAATTAATTTTAAAATTTAAAGCCTTTTCACATGTAAATATCACAATATATTATAAATATTGGATTTAGCACAATTAGCTGCAAGTGTATAAATGAGACTTCACTTCATTAAAGATTTTTATTGAATTTATAAATTGTGAGCTGAAAATTTAAATTTTAACCCAATTTTATATGTATTTGCAAAGAAGAAAATCTATGAAAATTTAAACAAATATTAATTGAAGATAGAATGAAAAAAAAAAAATTAAATACTCACCTTTACTGCTGTATCATTCATAGCTCTTGCAAAGGCTGCATCAATATTGCGATATTTTTCATCAGTGCGAGGTGAAAGTGGATAATCATCATCATCCCCATCCATGTCACCACCTTTAATTTCCTTTTTGCTCAACATCTGGAAAACAGTTCAAATCAGTTACAAAATAATACATGTTAACAACACCATTTTTAAAATTCGGGCCATCATTTGGGAACAAGAAAATCCCCTTTGTATTTATGACAAAAAAATTATTTAAAGCTGACTTACAATAATTGCAGATTGAATAAAAAGTTGACAAACATTTGCTAATAACATAATCCTGGTAATGTTTATAGATGTATCTGTTATAATTCAGAATTGTTTGTCATACCATAGGAAAAGACGCTTTTGATAAAGAATTTTTGTTATTTAATGATTTAAAAGATTTTGTTATTTAATTATTTAAAAAATAAAAAAAGATTGAAAACACCCCCCCCCCCCCCTAAAAAACCCCCAGTTTTTTTAAATTTATTAAAATATCTCTCTATACCTGCTACATTTTAAATATAAATATTAAGTTTAAAAAATATTAATATTTCAACACACAGAAAACTTACATCAACGATATCTTTGTTGGTTTGACTGACTACAGAGTCATTATACTCTGTGTACTTAAGGAGCACTTTGTCCATATCAGAACTGGCATACTGATATAATTTGTTATTGCTGGTGAATATGATGAGAGCAATTTCACAGTCACACAAGACACTTAGTTCATATGCCTTTTTCATCAGCCCGAATTTCCGCTTTGTAAATGTGACCTATTTAAAGGAGTAAATGTAGAAGATGATTAGACAATATAGAAAAGATTATGTGCAAAATAAAAAAAAACATATAGGCACAAGTAAACATAATTTTTTTTTATATAAGAAGTAGAGGACTTTATATATATATATATCTTATACTTATACCAATCATTTACGGGTAAATAATTTTAAAATTTGGTTACTCTGAATTTAAAAAAGGCAAACCTGTCTGTTTCTCTCATCATTTATACGAGCAATCTGAATCTTTTTTCGGCCCATGCTTTTTTCAGGTGTAGCTGTAAAATAAATTTAGTAAATATAAATATTGTATATTATAACTATATTTCAGATGTAAGCAGCAAAGGATAATAATATAATTATAATGAAGTCCAAAAGATATATAAATATCAACAACGCATCCTAACTATTCAATCAAAACTGCAATTATTCAAATGTTTGTGATCTAAGTATAAGTAGGGGAAAATGAAAAGAAATTAGGCAGGGTTAACAAATAATAGATAAAAACACAACTCAACTTTGAACTTGTGCCAGCCACAATTCTTATGAGAGTAAGATAAAGATTAAAAAAAACATTTGCTTGGTAAAGTCTGATTATAAATTTAAAGCTTTTTTTTCTTTTATTTTCAATCAGGCCAAGGTTGGATACATTTTAAAATATTTTAATTTTAATCATCATACTATTATTAATATGCCCAAATAATAAACAGCAAAAATTGAAAAGGCTTGGTCCAATAACTTAAGCCTAGTAAATGGGTCTAGGTCATCAAATTTTAGTTACAGCAGTCTAATCTAGCCTTTATATATTTTGATTATTATTATATCATTTTTTATGGGCTAGCCAAGTATATGAATATGACTGCATGTTTGAGTTATGTATTTTTTATCCTAGGCCTAAAATCCGGACCAATGACATAGCATTACATAGTAATTATAAATTCTTAAGCCAGGCTGAGCTTTAGATGATTATGATTAAAAATACAAGGCAGCTAAAGACCCTAAAACATTTTTATAGTCTAGTAAAATTTTATTATTTTAACTAACAAGAAAGTGACAATCATCCTTCCTGATTGATAGACTTAGTTAGACACACACAGCTCCAGTTTCTTTAAATTTTCACTAGTAGAAATTATTACTAGGCCCTGCCTCAATGTTAACATTTTAATTTAGGCCTAGCCAATATTTTGTAAATATGACTTTTTTTTCTCCTTCAGCTAAAGTCTTTTAAGTAAAATGGTAGCCTACTCAAATTTGGCCTAGTCTAGAGTAGCATTAGTCTTTAGACTTTAGTTAAACTTAGGGCCTTTTCCTTATTGAATTACCTTCTTTTATTCTATTTCATTTTAGTGTAGATAATTTAATAAACTAAACACTTGTTTTCGGAGAGTTTTCCACAATAGTGTCCACATTTTATTTACATTCATCTTAGTGTTAAAATTAGCCCCAACCCTGATTCACGATTTAAAATAGAATTTGTGTAAAATAAAGTAGACAAGCTCTAAGTTATATCGCCCTCGATTCTCGGTTGGGAGATTTCCCTAACGTTTACTAGTGGCTAAGCGATAGTAGAACTCTTCACCGCCTCAGATCCGGCTGATCCGAAAGATGTTTCCAAGGTTGCTTTCAACTGACTAAAAGAACTTAGGTGACCATTATGGCGGTTATTGTTAAGTAATAATACTAAGCCTTTGAAAAAGATAAACAACATAATATTCTTACCAAAACAAAGCCACGAGAGGAATAAAAATATCCAAGCCTATCTATTTTTACTGTCCAGTAAAATGTAGAGGTAGGACCGCGATGTAACTTCACTTGATCTATTTTAGGCAATGGAAATTACTTCGGTATTTTTAGTATTTGTGCTACATGGATATTTATACGCATTAAAATGGTTTTGAAATATTGAATTATGCAGTTTTTAACAATTAATGCAAGCTAATAATAAGATACAAAATAAATTATCTTAAAAAAGAATTACTTGGAATATTGGTGACTGATGTTCTATCGATAATGAACAGATAGCAAAGAACTATATTGTTAAGAATTACCACCCTCTAAATATATTCATTCGCCCTGAGAAACACAGTTTTGCGCTAAAATTTGATAATGCTAATTTTGTATTTAAATAAAAATTGATAGACATAGATTGAATACAAATTAGAACTTAATTTTTTTTAAAATTAAAAATATTCCGTAATCTACTTAATCTAGCCCATAAAAGAGAAAATAGCTACATAAATTAGTGCCATTATAATAAATGATTGACGTCAGAAGTCACGTGACATGATATCGTCATCCTTTGGCGTCTAATAATATAGTTATAGCATGTATCAAAATAATCCAATAGTTCCAAGGAATGCAAAGATAATTAAAATATTTTTCGATTGAAAAATAAATAAATAAATATTGTAATATGTTTTAAATATATTAACAATTTTTTTTTCATTAACTTAGTTTGAAACCGATACATGACTTCTAAAGGCATAACTCTGTATATATTCTAAAGTAAATTATAATCGCATTTATAGCCCCTTCTTTCTAAGCCGTTATTTCCATTTATGGCACTTTAACTACTTTTAAATTACCGCTAAAAGTTTTCTTAGTCTAACAAGTGGACAGGAGGAACGAAGCAAAATAATGTGCCATGTAGGTCTATTATGTGAAATATTATAATGTTTTTCTTTCCAATGGAATTTTTTTAAAAAGGGTAATTTATTTCCTTATGCGTATTGAAAAGTGTGTTTACGCCGTTGGCCGTTTTCACTTTTTCGAGCCACTTGTCCGTTTTGCGCCCCCCCCCCCCGTTGTAATGAAAGATAATAATTAAGAAAATATCCTTAGCACACGTGACGCGGACAGTGTACATCAGACATGCTAGTCAGCTAAAACCATCTCCACCTACCCTGTCCACGTAAACCTCTTGGCATAAGGTTTCAGGATAGAGTAGGACTGATAAATAGGGCCTACGAAGGGCTAATATTATCAAGATGGACAGGGCATATTGCAAGAATGCCAGATAGCAGACTCCCCTAAACAACTAACAGGGCATGTTGCAAGAATGCCAGACAGCAGACTTCCCAAAACAACTAGCAGGGCGTGTTGCAAGAATGCCAGACAGCAGACTTCCCAAAACAACTAGCAGGGCATGTTGCAAGAATGCCAGACAGCAGACTTTCTGAACAACTAATGTTACCAAAGGTACCCCCTTCATTTAATTGTGTGATTTTATGTATGGTTTGCACACTAAGAATGTGAACTTGTATTTCATTCAGTGGCATCTGTTTTTTTTTTTTTATGTTTTTTTTTTTGGTGGTGGTATTACGGCCTTTAAAAGCAATATTTTGGCACTAATTTAGAGAAATCTCAAATCGAAGAATAGGTTTATTCTAATCTGTACTTTAGATCTGTCTTTTGATTCAGACGCAGCCATGCCTCGCACATACAAGAAAACACCTGGGACCAGGAAATAAGCCCCCTTTGACGACGATAAACCCCAGAAGGGCTGTGACATGTTAACAAGTGGAGCTTGTCAGAGAGCGTGCCGGGTTAGGGATCACGAGAAGCACTCTTCAAAATAAACGTAAGAAGAGGCGCATGTAGAAGAAGCCTGGTAGACGAACTGCTCTAACAGAATTAGAAGAAAAGGCAATGGCTGAACATTTTACTGCATGGACATGTTAGTCCGTATGAAAAGATATTTAGAAAAAAACAGGGCAGATCTGTCGTATCCTTTCAAAGACAACATGCCAGGAATGGACTGGTTTGAATCATTTATGAACCGACATAAAGACACCCTTCGCTCGAGGTTGTGCCAGGACATCTCAAAGAAAAGAGCAGGAGTTTCAATGAGAACCATTCATCAATATTTTTCAAATCTGAAAGAAACTCTAAAAGACAGTCCTCCAGAAGATATCATCAACTAGGATGAAACAAACTTGTCCGACGATCCAGGACGAAAAACACAAAAAAACAACAAAAATTATCCAGAGAGGATCATCGACATCGCTAAATTGGCAACAAGTCTAACGTTTCCTGGCACTGCTGCAGGAGGACCACTACCCGTTTAGGTTGTGTATAAGGCAGAGAAACTGTGGGACACATGGAACGAAAATGTACCTAAAGCCAGCCGCTACAACCGTTCCCGCTCAGGGCGGTTTGACGATGAATGTTTTTATGACTGGTTCGTGAAAGTGGCGCTGCCATTTTGCAAAAGGAAAACTGGATGCGTGCTCATAGGCACGTGCTCATAGGCACGTGCTCATAACTTTAAAAAAAAAAATAATAATAAAAAAAAATTTGAAGAAATAATCGTTTTTGAATTATTTGTACTTAATGGCATTGCTATTGCCCCTGAATTAAACAATTATATTCATAATTACCATTATGGGTATTGACAGAATATTCAATGTTTCACATAAAATGGACGCAAAACTCTCCAGTGGGAAACGCTCAGCTGGTGGGCAGGGAAAAAAAAAGCGCTTCAAGGAATTTCTAAAAGCTTCACTCAAATCCATGGCCATTGATCTTGATTCGTGGGAAACACTTGCTATGGATCGTAGAAGCTGGCGTGGCCATACTCACTGTTGGAGCACAATCCTAAGAGTAAGAGTACGTGAATAAGCGCACCACTCACGCCCAAAGAAAGCGCACGGCAAGGAAAAGCAGAAACGAATCAAATTCAAATAGGATTTTAAAAAAACCAACAACAACAACGTGTGTCTCACGTGCGGGAAAGCTTTCCAGACACAAACAAGATTAGCAGCAGGTCATCCGCGTAATCACTGTGTACGGTACCATAGCCTTTTTTTCGTGATCGCATGCGAAGGACGAACAACACCAGCGTTTTCGTGTGCACAAAACTGGAACATTTTTCTTTAAAACGAGAGAAAAGACGGCAAAGGCACATTAATAGTTTACATTTAGATTATCTCTACAAGTGTGACACAATCAGTTCTAGCAACATCAGAAAAAGGAGGCCCTCACCCCCCCCCCCNCCCCCCGGATCCTTTTAAACAAAGCACATAAAAAGGCCTAATCTCTCTCTCTCTCTCTCCCCCCCCCCCTCTAAATGTTCTAAACACCTGTACATCGGATTCCCCTCCCCCTTTTCAATTCAATAATCACAAGAGATATTTCTTAATATTTGCTGACTGTGAAAATGGGTCGTGGGGGCTTGTTGAGTATGGGCCGACTTCCTTATACTACCGGTAAGAAAATATCTTTTAATTCTATTATTTTTAAATTAATTTCAACTTCAACAGATAATAACGGTATCCCCTCTGTGCAGTGATTCCAAATCCTTTTCAATGTAAAATGCGATATCCAATCTCTATAATTTGAAGGTCTGCAGCAGGGGTCGGGAACCTATGGCTCGCGAGCCAGATGTGGCTCTATTGATGGCTGCATCTGGCTCGCAGACAAATGGTCAATAATAAAAAAAAATGTTTCTTTAGACTCCTTTGATCTACATATTAATTGCATATCAATATTTCATTCTACAAATGAGCTAAAGTCTACTGCAGCTCAGCATCAGAAGTTGTAAAGGAGATCAACTCCGCTGATCTAAAAGACAGAAAAATAGCAACACTGCATTCATTGTAATTAAAGGGAAATAATTATTGCATTTTTAGTGTTGAAATTACACAAAATGCACACATTTACTTGAATTTTTAGTTTTAAACATAATGTATGGCTCTCATAGAATTACTTTTCAAAATATGTGGTGTCCATGGCTCTCTCAGACAAAAAGGTTCCCGACCCCTGCTCTAATAAATAGAAACTCTAGGATTTGACATTTTGTGTGTATATGTAAGTACATATATAATATTTTTTTTTAGTTGGGCATATGCATTTTTTATACTTATTTATCACCACCAGTTTGTATCTTTATTTGTTTGTTAGTTATTAAAAAATTTGTTTGAATATATAATATAATCTTATTTTTGTATGTAGAGAAATATGAATAAAAATTTTCTCAACTTGCCCACTCGATTTCAAGCATTATTCATAATGCCCAGGCAATGTAATATTTTCTATATAATTTATCATATTGACACATCCCATTGGGCATTTTTTAAATTGCCCGGCAATTATTCATGTTGCCCAAAACAAATATAATGGATACAAAAACTGATTTATTCAAAACATTTGACACATGTAACTTTTAAACATTTTCAAGTGTAAGTCTATTTCTTGAGGAAAATTACATATGAAACACAACTCAAATTTAATTTATTTAGCAACTACATACATGATACATGACATGTTCAGACTTACATGACTTTGATGTCCCTTTAAAAGAAACCAAAAGATTTATTCAGTAAATACTGGCAAGTTAAGTACAAAAAAATGGATTGTAATTCTATTGAATGTTTTTAAAACATTAAACATATTTTAAATATATTTATTCTTTAAAAAAATTTCAGTCAAATATAAATAAGAACATTTTGTACATATACCTATATGGTGAATCCATACTTTCATAAGTATAGTGGAAAACAACCATAGCTTCATACTGTAATGAGGACTTTAAAATTTTACTTTATCATATTCCAAGAATTCTGAAATAAATAGAATGAGCCAACAAATATGGATTAAAAAATATCAGAGAACTGAAGCATTTATTTGATTTTATTGAATAATTTAAAAGTTACCTTACTTTTTGTTCATATATTTTAATATTTGACCTAAATAATTATCCAACCTATATATATGTATAAGCTTCTCAAACAATGTCAGTAGAAAAGAAATGTTAATAAGAAAAGATTTATTTATGAAATCTTGAAAATAAAACGAAAATACTTGAAGACAAGTTTTTTTTCAAAGGGCAAGCAAGAGTCTACCTAAACTTCAACACAATGATGCACCATCACTACAATGTTCAGAGTTCATCCTAGAGCTGAAATTCTATTGACAGCAACCTAGACCTAGTCCTTGATAACAATTAAATTAGAATCTGTCATAATTCTGATAAGTCTCTTAATTTCAAGTAGTCACAAAACAACAACAGAAC